TCACGAATCCAATATAATAGTACACCTATAAAACAATAACACTTCCATGTCTGGTGCCTTTATATAACTTGAATTGCTCACCGAAAGACAAAGACGCTTCCTCCCTACTTCTGCAGGAAATTTTTTCTTTTTTTAACTCTTCAGTATTTGAAAATAATTTTGTAAGGCAGCTTATTTTTTCTTTGATACATGATCTTCAGTTTACACCAACTAGATTTTAAAAATGGTTGCCATAAGTTCATTTCAAATTTTGAAATGGACTCATTTTAAAAAAGTGCATTTAAATAACCCTTCCACATAGTATTTAAGAACTGGATTCTCATTTCAACATTCAACCACCTCGGTGACCTTTAGTCATCATAATAAAATGGAAATGGGCTCTTACAACACCTTACACAGAGTACATCAGTCTGTGGGAACCCTCAGTGAGGATGGCTGTCCAGACCTGTAATCTGGCACCATAAGCCCAGCTGCTATGCAGGCAAGCAACCTGCTGGCACAAGCCTCCGAGACCAGTCACAGCCCAGCATTCACCCACCCCCATTTCACCGAGCAAGCACAGCCTCTGAACACATGCATAAGGCAGAACTGCTGCATTCCAGAAACAAACGTCTCCTTCGCACATACCCAACTTGTCTCCGAGTGACGACTTTTAGATCTAACAGCCTCTCCTTCGGCAGTGATGAACGGGAGCAGGTTCAGAAAAACATGCTATCTGTTAATTCCTTCTCTCAGTTTTGATGCCATTTGGTCTGCTCTTCCAGACATCATCATTAAGTTACTGACCAAATCTGTAGCACTACTGTAAGGCATTTTTCACTGACTTGTACGCAGGAGCTCAGCTGTAACTGAAAGATACCGTTGTGGGGTTTTTTTGTATGAATTAGAAGCCTTGGAATATATTATGTATTCCCACTTCCTGGTGGCGGTCCAAACATCAAAAAGAATTACTGGAAATCTAGCTTTTACTTACTACAATTTAATTTAGTGAAATAGCGTGACAACATCATCTGCTTGATGAAACGGAGTTGGCCAAGAAGGAATTTGCCTTGGCAGGAAGCTTCTGACCACTACTGGGGGGAAGGGAATTAAATATTTAACTGGAAAATCCAAGATTAGATGCAACTTCCGTGAAAAATACTTGTTAGACATTTTTAAAAATTTTATGGTGGTCTAGGTATCTATGGAAGTACTGGACTTGTTCCTAGACACTAACTCACCACCACTGCAATGGTAGCAGAGGCATGATAATTTACTTCAATCAAGCTAATGACTTTTGAGTTACAGGTCTTCATTTACTGAGTGCAAGCCTAAAATCACTACACCATGCCACCTAGACTGGACACAGGATGGTACACATCTACCACCACTTCCAGTTCACATTATTCCTGACTGCAGCGATGGTCCACCCAGAGATGAAACTCACTTTTTCCTCCTAAGCAGTAAAATACATCCTCATCCAGCACCATCTTTTCTAAAAATGCCGCCACAACAAAAGGTAAACCCCCACCCCCCCAAAAACAACCACCTGCAAAACCAAACAAAAACTGCATTTCTTAAATAGATACATCCCTTCAGGATTTCCAAATAACTTGTACAAGTAACTTATCAGATTCCTCCCCCAGCCCAAGACAATGTAAGGAAACAAAATTCCAGATCCGTTTGCAAATTATATTTGAGCTCCAAAGGAATGAGAAGAAATACAAACTGAGCTGAAACACAAAAAGCTCATACTACTATCATTTATGTCTCTTGCGGAGATGGATTCAGGAAAAACTTGGGCTCTCGATAAAAGCTTCAGCAGAGTTCTCCTATCCCATCAAATTTCTAGCTAGAAGTAAAACCATTGTTGCCTAAGTACACGTTTTTTCTTCCACTTTTTCCTAGTCACATCAATACATCAGAGGTGACCATAAATGCTTTGGGGGACAGACTGCGTTCATTGCATTGCAATGGTGCCCAGTGAACTGGACCACAGGATTTTAGCTCATGCAAGCTGAGACACATAGCTGATGCCAAACAAAATGATGGAACCTTCTCCTCAGACAGATGTCGCAATGTAGGAGCTGGCAGGGAGAAATTGAAACTCATACCATTATAGAAACGCAGACAGCCTTCGCCTCTAAACACCTTAGTTCAAGTTCTGGACTTCAAATTACCAACTTAATTTGGCTGTGTTAAATGATCAGCATATCCACAGCATACAGAGAACGAGGAAGAGGCCACCATGGCCGAGGAACAGCATTTAGACCACTCAGAGGGCAAATCCCCTCTGCTACCCTGAAACCACCTCCTCTCAGATCAGTACAGACAGGGTTTATGTATGTTTTTAAGAAAGGGATCAATATGCAGATTAACAGTACCCTGGGGTGCATTAAGAGAAGCAGGGCCAGCAGGTCAAGGTTCTCCTCCCCCTCTACTCTGCCCTAGTGAGGCCCTATCTGGAGCACTGTGTCCAGTTCTGGGCTCCCAGTCCAAGAAAGACTAGTAACTACTGGAGAGCCTCCACTGGAGGGCTACAAAGATGAGGGGACTGGAGCACCGCTCCTAGGAGTAGAGCCTGAGGGAGCTGGGCTTGTTAGCCTGGAGAAGGCTGAGAGGGGATCTCGTAAATGCTTATAAAATAAGCATGGGCGTCAAAAGGATGGGGCCAGACACTTTTCGGTGACTGACAGGACAAGGGGCAACGGGCACAAACTGAATCACAGGAAGTTCCATGTGTGTTCAATAACAAAGTCTTTCCAGAAGCCTTCGAGGCTAACCGCTGCAGTGTTTTCTGCTTTGGAGGCTTGCCAGCTGAATTAAATGTCTTATCTATTCAAGAAGAAGAAGAGTGATGTGCCTGCCCAGACATTTATCATTGTACCACTTCATTTCCTGATACTAAGTTTTCTGGAACTAAGCATTGGGCAACCAGGCTAGTTATTTTGTATGAAAGACCTGATAGTGTCTTGTATTCTGTCATCTTTCTGAAAGAAGGAAAAAGCGAAGAAGTGCTTTCTCAAGCAGCAGCTGAAAGAAGGAGAAATCTTCTAGAGCCATGGTAAACAGCAAGAGGAATAACCCTCCCTGTTTAGGCACCTGTGTTTTTCCCCACTCTGGGGGAAGGAGTGACACACAGTGGGAACAGATCAGCTTCCATAATGAGGAAGTCACACAGCTCCTCTCATCACCCTGTCACAGAGGTGCAAGCTCTGGCAGATCAGCTGTCAAAAACTGTTTCCTAGATCACATCTTGCTTGAACTACAGGACGGGACTACCACCAGAAGGCACTATTTGGCATGTTTTTTCTTAAAAGGTTATCAGACCTTCCTGTTGGTCTCACCTCCCATGCAAACGCCTCCCTTAAGCAGGGTGTTTTGTTCTACACCTTACAGCTTCAAACAATCCAGGATCCCTGTCTTGGTTCATAGTCAACCTCTCAAACTTCGTCCTCAGAATCTACACAAAAGGAGCTTTGCCCAATTTTTCTTTTATTACAGGCACAAATATTAGAATTCTTTTGGTAAGACAGCTCCCTGTAGGCTTCAGAATTTGAGGACAACCACAATGGTCTGTTCAGCTACAGCATGTAGAAATTGATGAAGCACATGAAAATGCTTAAAAAGATAAAACCTTCTAAATAGGCTATTTACACTTGACATGATCCAGAGATTTCTTCCATCCAAGTACTAGATTTTCCCTCAGCTGTAACAGTGCCAGGAACTAGGATTGTGCTGTATAATCTCGGGGCACAAAGGAATTGCAGCAAGGCTCTTAACAATCCACTGTTTCTTCCCTATACTGGAGACTAAAAATACTACCATATACGACAGACACAAACGCAGCACTGGCTGCAGTCAGCAGCCAACAGGTTACACTAACTGAACCACTTGAAGCAAGTGCAGATCAGCACCTTCTACCTGGGAAACATCCCCTAAAAGATCCTAGCCAGCAAAACTGGAAATCATCGTTGCGGATTTTTTTTTTTCCCCAGAGGAATACGCACTCTTACAAAGGAAACTGTAGCAAAAAAATATTTATAGCCCTCTTCAAGTTATAGTGCAGGGGTAGTAAAATATTTCTGTTGACACAGGAAAAGTGAGAGTAGCCAACTTGTGAGGCTAGAATTTTATTGCTCATAGGTCAATACATAAATATAGCATATTTACCAGAAATTGAAAGTCTGAGTTGCTGACATTAGCTCTAAACTTTCTTGTGCCCAAGAACTCACCTCTTATTCCAACGTACAGCAATAACAGTTTGGTATGAATTTCTTAATGTTAAATCAATTTCACTGATAGGGAACATTTCTTTTAGACTAAGCTAAACTTACCAATTCAGAGAAGAGTTATAAACAGACTAAAGCATACAACAGCACAGTAAATTCATGATACTTGGGTTTACGGCAGGCCATCCTCAAGTCCCTCTTTCTGTGCCACTGTATAAGCTTGTAACAGATAAGCACTAGGAGCTCTTCTGAAGGACGGGACTTCATCCACAATACTGAAACTTAGTCACTGGAAGACAAACACAACTCTATTGCTATTCAACAGTTCGGTAAATCTAGTATCAAAAGAACCTAGCTATTAAATCCAGTCAAACTTAAAGCAAGGAGTTCTCACATGTACTCCAGAAAGAGACCGAAGTTCATACAGGACACATGCCGCATGGCTTCCCCTTCTTGTCTCTTTCAGGTCTTTTGGTCACCTCATCTGTCAAATCCAATTCATTTCCAACAACTGCTTAAACCTTTCTGAAATTTCTGCTCAGGTAGAAGTCATTACTGCGTTTAGCGCCATATGCAATTTGTTCAGTTCTTATGTGTCACTAAAATATCATTTACGCAATCTCAACTGAAAACTGATGCATCCCAACAGCATTTCATGAAGTAGCTTGTGTTCCTATCTGCATATGGGACACCAGTTTCGAAATTACTTCCTTTACTATGCAGTAACAGTAAAAAAAAGTAGGAGCTGAACTGCTGTCAAACTCATTAAAAAGCAGATAGACTATTATACTCATATTAAAAATAATTTACTTTCCCAAAATAATGTACAATTAGAAGCAGCTCACACTAAACACAGAGCTGGAAAGTGTCTGAAGAAAAACTGTTGAGTCTGAATCACATTGCACTGAAACAATATGCTGAAATGCTTGCAGCAAAACTGCTTGTAACCATGAATGTTTATTTAGTACGTGCACTAGGTAGGCTGTCAGACAGCTGCAAAGAGAAGTCTCTGTTTACTTCCTCCTGCCACCTCCACCACCCGCAAGCATGGTGGCTACCCGAATGAAGATGTTCAGTGTATCTGTGTAGATACCCATGCACCTAGGAAACAGAAAAATCAAAGTTAATATTGTTGAACAGAAATAGCATTATTTGGTGTTTCACACCACTACTCTTAATTTTTAAAAGCCTTTGTGAAGTATCATTAACAAAACCCGGCTATAACTGTCCTCAGTGCTTGATATATCAAAAAAAAAAAACCCACCCTGAATTTTTATTCTACAATCTATGACAGCAGGAACTTATCTACAGAAATCTTAACAGACAGTATACGATTCTCAGAGTAGCCCTCTGCTTTTATGCTATACTTTCATCTGTTTATCTCCAAAAATTTTTAAGAAAGTCAATAATACTCTACTCTAAGAAATCAAAGTCAAGGAGGTAAACAATTCACCTAAGATTGGACAAACAATATTTACAAGCAAGTTACTTGGTAGTCAGACTTGGTCTTTACCGAAAGTCAATCAATCCTTCTTTCCTCATCTATCATATTGTTGAAGCTTTATTTAGTGACCAAGACAGATGAATATGAAGTGACTATGAAAGAGTTAACTTTTTTTGGTCTCAGCTGATATTGACAGGTATTTTCAGAAAGCAGCTGTAAATTCTCCCAGCAATGCTTTAGAAAATAAAAACACTTTCTAAAAAGTACTGCTGGAAGCACGTGACACCACACATTCGATCCCGTTTCTCTCATTTCAGGCAGATGGTTTCAGCTTTAACTCCACTATCTATTTTCACATTGTATTTTTAAACCCTGTGATTCTTCACATTTAACAGCAATACACTTTTGATCAGTAAACAAAAAGTCTGGCTGTTTTTGAAGCATACTTCAACGTGGCCTGAAGCAAATTCTTATGCAGACATTGAGATCAGCTGTGTTAACGCGGAATACTTACGCATTGATTGGATCATATTTTGTTACTCCATAATATGGAATAGTTTCTGCACGCTTGATAACATGTTGCGTATCATAAAGCAGGAACATGCCAAAGAGTACCAATCCACCATAAACAGCTACCGAATACAAGCCAGCACCAAGAGCAGAAGTTGGAGGCAAAAACATGGATCCTGGAGAGGAATGCACAATAGTGTTAAAGAAAGCTACTATGTGTATCTGCTACTCTGAGTTGGGTCAAACTTCAGTTACTGTAGCACACATTTCTCAATGAGTATTCAATTCTCAATTTGTACTGCATTTTGGTTACTCAGAGCTTAAATACATGAGCTGACGATGTCACATCTACTACTCCATCCAGTAACTTTGAACACCCTAGGGAACCATGTGTACTTTCTTTCACGTGAAAGCACTTCTGTCCCTAGGACTACAACAACGTCTACAAGCATAAGGGAGAAGAACAAGTGGATCAAGAACTAAGATAGTGTTTACTGTCTTCCCCGGTCACTGGCAGTAACTAAGAATACAAGCCATCGCTACTGGCCATTTGTCAGATTAACACTTGTCAGAACTGTAACTTGAATTTGTTCTTAAAAACGAACATAAACAGAGTATTTTCTGCTGCACTAGAATTGCAAGGGCTATTTAAGGCAGAACTTCACCAGACAGACCAGTCTGCAATTAAACATGAGCTGCATCTTAGCAGCTTAAGTTTATAAACTAGTTTATCTGACAGTATTGAAAGCGTATTTTACCAATTGAAGAGGCAAGAACAAAGCCTAAGCCTATTCCAAGCGGTCCTCCCATGTTCAGAAATTTTTCACTTGGAGCACACATGGCCACAGTTGAGAGCCCTCCGACGATTCCAGCAGTATACCATGCAGCTCTGATCAGCAAAGGACCACCCAAGAAGGCTAGAGGAGCCACCACTGCACCCATGACACCTAGCCAAAGGAAAACAAAACAGCACAGTTCTGGTAAAAACACCACCTAACAAAACAATTCTGGTTTGGGTTTTTTGTTTGTTTGTTTTTGTTTTTTCTTTTTTCCTCCAGTCAGATAACCTGGCTCAAAGTAATCTAGTTGCATGACAAAATGCCAACACATTTGACTGTGTACCTATGTAGCAGGCAGCAAAACAAAGCAGCAACCTTAAATTCCATGACCTACTTTTATCTAGCTCTGGAGAGTACTTCAGGGAGCTGGTCTTTGGAAGAAAGACTAACAAAAGTCAACATATTGTTCTGTTCAAAACAGAGCTAGTAAGACATATTTGGCATAAAGTAATGAACTACATAATAGCCGCAGGAGCACTCAACACTGAAAAGCAAGACAGATTTCTACCAGAACAATTAGTTAGGCAAGTACAGACTTTTTGCTAGAGTCTTCTATGAAACCTCTATCTAGTCCATTAGTATCACATGAAGTTGTTCAACTTAATAACAATTGCTAAAATAAACACAAGTTGTTCTTGGCAGAAGTGTCAGCTCTTGAGAAGCAAATATGATTCCAGTGCCTAACATCCTCATATCTTTCCTGAACCATAAATTACTACTAGCAACACAGTTTTGAAATGTGATAGCCATTGCTATTTTAAATGGGTATCATTAGTGAGAAACTGATATGTACTACAGCTTACATACCTGATGGGAACACGTGTCTAAGAAGCTGCACTTTAACACTAAAACAACATTTTTCTAGTCAACTTTTCAAATACTTTCCTATCCTGTACAGCTGAAGACTGGTTAAGTGTAGGCAATAATGGTTACAGAAGGTATAGTGCCAGAAAGCAGTCACAAAACCAAAGCAGCTACGAAACCAGTTAGTTCTATCCAATGTGGCATACACGTATCTCAAACTTAACTTCAGCATGACTTTTTCAAGACTGCAAGAAATATTACAGTTGTGTTAAGGACACTTACGAAATCTTCCTGACATTCCGGAGTTCTTATTGGTCTCGAACAGCAGTACATAAAAATTTCCCTTAAAGTCAAAGTTTTGTTAAAGTAACAATCTGGTCACGGTGAAGCACAGACAACTCTACAATGAACACTAAAATCACATACCTGAATGCATCATCCAAGCCAAATGTTTAGCTCCTGGGCTGTTTTCATAGGATATGGACCTGACCAACATTCCAGCACCAATCATAGCTGCAAAAGTTGCACCTATGGCCTGTAAAAAAAAGCATTGCAGAGCTCAAGTTAGCATTAGGACATACCATCTCTGTTCTAACCTCCTAGTCTGAAAAACAATAGTGTAAGTCTGAAAAGAGCAACCTAATTCATAACTGGAGTGTTTGTCAATTCTACTCCCATAAGGTTACAGTCAAATCCTTGCAGTAATTCCCATTTTACTTTCACTCAGTCTTCTATGAATCGAAGTCTAGTGGTAAGATAGCAACAATCTCTTAGTTGTGTAAGGTAAGAGAAGGAAAACATACGATTCTACCCCTTACTCTAATCCCACTAAGGTACCTGAAATGTTAGCCTTACTTTTTTCTTGTATGTTTATCCACCCAAAGCCAATACTCAGTTCAGGTGAACCAGACTACCAATGATTTTTAAACCTCGTCACTTCCTCTTACTAATCATTCCAAACAGAATCATCCAGCAGATACCAAGCTGGTCAGAAATGAACAACTTCAGTTTATCACCAAGGATACATTATTAATCTCTGTAAAATTACGTATTCATTGGCATTTAACTACTATCATTCCACTCCACTTAAACCGAACACGTACTAAGCAGACATGTTCTGTTAGCAGCTTGCCTGGATGATTTGCCTAGCAGTACTGTTTCAGTCTTGGCAAACAGGAGACAGCTTTCAAAGAGCTATATAGAAGAGCACAGAGAGGAGTAAGAATGCATAGGGACCTCAGTTTCCATTTTTAGAGCATGATAAAAATAACCTCATTAGCCTCAGGTGACTATTTGTAACAGTTCTTACTTGCATATAGCTGGTAAGAATAGCATTGAATTTTTTTGCTTATGTAGTTTGCCTTTGACAAACTATCAAAGCAGTATAGCAGCTGCATGCCAGCATATAACTAGAATTGCTAAACTTTAAATCACAAAATATCATTAGGACACTTCAGTAGTCTTCAGAGATAAGGACACTAATGTAATGAAGTTTTGCCTTACTTTCCCCCCAAAAGCTTACATTTCACTTTTTTTTTTTTAAAACACGAACCATGACATTTGAGGTCTTTTCTGAGAAAGTGTTTTTATTTTTATAACATAAGCTTACCAGCCAGGAACCTTTTGTCATAAGGCTCATGAGTGCTGGAGATCTGCTTACTGCTACAGCAGACAGCGCCGTCAAGCCAACGCTTCCCGCGAAGTACATGTAAGTAGAGCGAATTCTGTCTTTCACATACTGTGGCCAAATACTGAAAAATAAGCAGTCATATATAGCTGTGCAATTACCAGTATCAGAATGAAGACCAATTAAAAGCACAATCAAACTGTCAAATACATTCATAGCTACGGATATAAGCGAGGTTTCATAATAATGGTGTGATCTAGCAACTTCTGCCATGAATTTGCCTTACAACAGGGGACTGAACTTTTAAATCTTGCTGGTCTTATGTAACATAACCCTCTAAAACCACTGCAAGTTGCAAATAATGGTAATTATAGTTCAATTTTAAGCAGGAAGCATACACAGGAAACAGAATAAGGAATGCTTTTTAACTATTGAAAAATAAAGAATGGTGTATATACAACAAATTGGTTTAAGGAAAAATGTCTACAGAACATGTACTGGGCACTAAGTAGGCTGCTGAGCAGCTCAAATTGCTGAGTCATAGTGCACATGATTATCTGACATCACAAGACACAAAGGTCATTTTGAGAGCTCTAACAACACTAACAGATGTAGTTGTGAGTGAGACTTTCTGCAGTATGATTTGGTTCTACTACGGATGGAAAGCTTTGCCTTCCATGATCAAATTTAAACACAGTGCACACATTTTTCTTCCATTTTACTGTTTTGACCAGTTACTTCAAGACTTGTGGAAAAAGGATTAGACAGTTGTATCAACGACAAGCTTCTCATAGATACAACCAGAAAGTATTCAGTATGAATGCAGACAGTCACTTCCAAATACAAACGCAGAATAAGTAACACAAAATATCTCCAGCACTCCTTTCTCCCAAGCCCATACTTATCACTAACCACCTTTTCAGTCCAAGTAACTACACAGTTTGCCATCACAGTCAGGTTTTTGGTGTACTGCTTTTCGGCCAGCAAAGTTTTAAGCAAAACATATTTATTAGAGCAGGGCTTATACCAAGACAAGCAGTGTGTTCAAAGGAGATTCTCTTTCCACCACACTGTATTTAAGTTTAATGAACAGTCTCTCAGGAACACCAGGCAAAGCAGTCTTAACACTATGTTTTACAAAAGACTACCTTCCATAAATTATCCGTGGCACACTTTTCATAAGACATTTATATACTCTTCACAAATAAATGGAAATTTAGCAAAACAAAAAGAATATCCATTTAAGTGCAGGTAATGTGAATTTTGCTTTCAGTTATACGCTTTCAAATTCTGCACAGAGGTAAGCCCTTCACGTTCAGAGCTTAAAAAAACATAGGCTGTGTGTACACTGGGTGCTACCAGCTAAAGAATAGATGGATATGAAGAGGAGGGACATTCATTTAACACACTGCTTGCTTAGAACAGTAAGCCATCTTACTTACACAGCTCTTTCAATGGCTCCAATCTCACTGGACATGCCCATTCCATAGTAACAGAGAGCCCCCAGGCCAACAGCAGCCCCTCCAGCAACAACAAATTTCCCCAGGCGATCAGCTGTAAAAAGAAAAAAACCACCCATACTCTCATGAGTGCTTTTTCTTGGATAGTTAACAACATTCTCACATGATTTCTGTTGTATCTACAATAAGTGATCCTGTTAGGCTTCCTTCTTAAAGTTTTACTTAACTTCAAGTCACTGCGTTACCAGTTCTCAATGAGCTACACATGCAAAAAAGTCTGGATTCAGCCTAGCAACACAATCTAGCTTTGTAAAACAGAGTAAGACATAAGAGACCAGCTAGTAACATACCAGATTTATTGGCCTTCATTACAGTGACAGGAATTCCAACACAAAACCAGTTAACAGGTTCTCCAACAGAAGAGTTCACCTGTTAGCTGATTTAGCATACCATTTCACTATCCAAGTCGCTAAAAAACAGGAGAAAAACTAGGTATTCTGTCCTTTCCTTGTGTGCATCCACCCTTAACGCTTGCTCCTTCAAGGGCTCTTTGGTAGCAATTAATCCAAATCAGTTTAAAAAGGGATTTCCACAGCTCACAGGCGACAACACACGATTTACTATCAGTTTCTACTGTCTGATTTTTAGACATACTGCCTGTGTACCACATACCATACCAGATTACTGCTACAAATATAAACATCCATCATAAAATACTGTTATAATTGAAGTAAGAGCAGCTAAAACGAACTACGTTCAGTTGTACAACTCTAAGACTACACTTTTTCCTAATGTCTTATAGCCAAAACATATATTCCATTTATCAATTCTATGCTATTATAGGACTTCTACAAGCCTGTCCTGCTGCACACTGCTATCTAAAAAATCCCTTTATAATCCACTGAAATTACAATCCACAGTCGATGTACTAGCAAGCATAGTAAGCCAATACCCTAAACAATCATAGTACAGAAACTTTTTTTTTTACAAACTGTACATGCTGTAGAAAAATCCTTCCTTTAAACAGTATATAAAGTAGACATAGCAAAGCAAGCATTAGCGTATTTTCGTATCTGCAACGAAGTCTCCATTAAAATATGACCATTTTTGACTCAATAGTTCTCAACAGCAGCTTAAAGTACAGACAATGAGAAACTTCTCTATACTGTAACATATTTTCAGCTTTAAACTTGACAAGCAGAGAAACTGTCTCCAGTTGTTTGAGGGAGATCACTAAGCAAACTTACACATGAAACAATATTCTCGGTCTCTTTAATGGTTTGAAGCAAACCAATTCCTTCGGGGAAGCTTCAAAGCTTCTCAATATTTAAAGCAGAGCTACCCTACCTTTAAGTGCAGTTTCTGTAGATGGCTCAAATGCTGCTTCTTTAATTTCCTGGCCAATTTTTCCACGCCTTACACCTGTTCTCACTCTGGTGGCATAACACTGTTACATTCAGAAATAAATGAAAAAAAATAGAAGACATATATTATCAATTTACTTGCTACACTTAAAATTGCTACATAGTCTGTTAATTATCTGTGCTTACCTCCCAAAGACATAATGCAACTGTGCTCAAGGAAAGCAACTCAACATTAAAGTTTAGGAAGCTTTGTGAATAACATTGACACATTCTAGAAGTACAGAACCAATGCAGTGAACTTCAGAGGCCGAAGTTTTTCTCCTACTCCTCTCCCACTGTACTAAACAAGGCCATGAAGCTTTTTTTTTTTTAATGTAAAAACATACTGTTTACTTGCTTTGTAAAAAAAATATTTTGCTTTCTATATAAAGACATGCTTTATATAAATACTTACATAAAAATATTCTTGCACAATACTTATACTTTACAGACACTAAATCAGGAAAAGCAGCACGAATTCTTTGCTTTAAACTCTAGCCTTGATTTAGAGCACAAACCTTGAGTGAAGGCCTATAAACTAAAGATTTTTAAGTCTGACAAGCTCAAAGTAAATATAGCATGCAGCTCAAAGTCTTAGTTAGCTGCAAGAGCAGCACAGAATAAATTTGTATTTAGGTTCAGAAACAGCTTTTGAAGTTTCCTTACAATTTTTTTCCAGGAATTTCTAAGTTATTAAACAAGCACCTAAGCAACCAAGGGCTCACTCAAAGCTGTGAGTTTATTTTAACACCAAAACCTAAAATCTACTAGCATTACTATCATCAGCCATTAGAGTAATAAAACCCAGGAAATTTACCACAACACTTCGGTTCTGTTGTGTTTTGCATGTAACAAAATCTAGACCAGTACTATAATTACATAGCACTCACCACAGAAATAAAATCACCACAAAAAACCCAAAAAAAACCCGAAGAAAACATGCGCACACACACAAAAAGCCCAACACATCTACAAACTTAAGATGCTTAAAACAGTTTTCCATGCTTAATAGGAAAATACAAAGGAGGTAAAAGATTTGCCCTTTCACCAAGATGATGACAAAAGAGCAACGCCTCCTCACAGTTGTGAGTTACCTGGCAGGAAGCAAAAAAGAAACACCTTCTTGCAATGAAGAATAAACAGATAGTGTCTTAGGATAACAACAGTCACATTTTCAAAACTGCTGGTAAGACCTATGATGGTCCTGTCATAGTTCAGAAATTGCTCTAACCTGGGCTACAGCTCTAAACGTGTATTGAGACCACAGTCTTTGAAAAAAAAGTTTTTATTTTAATACCATATTTAAGACTTTTATTTGGAAACGGGAAGCTAGAAGGAAGTCAGACAAGAATTTCTGCTCCTCTCACCTTACACAGTAAGTCTTATCCATTACTAACTATCTCCTGTAAGTTCTTTTCTCTGCTAATTTCAACAGGGAAATAGTCCTCAGAACAGAAGATATTACTTCCATTGCTCTTAAAAAACCCTGTTTTTTGATTAAGTAACATTCTTCCTTCAGTAGATTAGAGCAGGTACCTCAAACAAGCAGAAGGCTCATGATCATTCAAAACAGGTACTCCACGCAAAGTGATTCTTCCCACAAAACACTCAACCCTTTAAAACATCAGCAGTCAGAACCATTAAAAACAGAATTACCTTACCTGATTAGGCTGCCACAGCCTGTATGCTTTTATATTGGAGTTCCTCAAAGCTGGGGAAGCCTGAGTAATGGTGGGGCGGATAGTTTGGCATGATAATGCCCTCAGACACACTAGCCTTGCAGCCAGCATGGTTGCTCAGATAATCAAATACACTGCGTTCCTGCAAGAACACGAGAAAATATGCTTTACTATTTTATTACATGGTTTTCAAACAAGGTACACTGACGACTTATTCTCAACTATATTACAACCTGTAATACAAATAGCATTACCACTAGAGTACAGGAGTAAGAGCCAGAACCTTCTTAACTATGCAGTTTAACTCTGTTCTATCTGTATTTGTCCCCTATTTCCATCAAGGACTTCTCTCTCACAACTTACCCAGAAACAGGAAGACATACCACTTCTCACACACATAAATTACATCAAGACCCTTTATGTACTTGAATTTGTAACTACCTGTCGAGACATAACACCGCATGAGTACTCTGCCCTCCTCCTACATTCAAAAAGATGCGCCAAAACTACATAAACTTCAGCTAAGTATAAACCCAAATGAGTAAACACCATAACATACGTGGCAGTAAAACTTTTAGACAGGTTTTAAGCTACCCTTTGAAGAATTAGTTAGCTTTATGAACACGGCATTCAGTCAAGGTCACACTCCAGAACACAAGTCCAGGCCACCTTGTGCAGTTTTGACCAGATAACAGTGACGTGACGCCACTCCTGAGCCAATCAACAGCGTAAGCAGACACCAGCCTGTATTACAGGCAGTATTAAAGCTGCTAGCTTACAAATAGTGCATGTTACACATGAAAAGCCCCACATCCTTGTACTTACACACGCTTTAATTATGACTATATACTACCTCGGATATCACAAGACACCCCGAGTACCAAAACATTTTTTCAAACAACTGCTCATAGCTTACATGTACAACATCCAATATAGTTTAAGAGCACTCTAAATAAAGGTGATTTTACGCACACATGAGAAACAAGAACCCATAGCATTAGGCAGCTAGCACTAACCACAAAGAAGTGAAAAAATAATTTTATCACTAAAAAAAATTACTTTGCTCTGAAAGTCGGTTATGACATTCCTGCTCTTATAAACAGAAGCGCTTTCAGAGACGCAGCCTGCTTCGCCACTAAACCGCCCTCTTCCACCGGGATGATGCAGTTTGCAGGAATTTCCAGTGACAACTCTGCCGCTTTGATTTTTATTTCTCTGAAACTGCCGCTGGAAGCAAGACAACTCCAAGCACAAGGATTAAAACAAAACGTCGTTACGAGCGTTCCAGCGCATTAACTAGCAAATGCAGCAGCAAGGAAACACGGCGAAGTCACTGCCGCACCACAGCGTGAGGAAACCCACTCCAGGCTGGGGGAGGGGTGGGGGGAGTGGAAGGCGACGACGGCCCCTGAGGGGACAGGGACGCTGCCAGCGCGCACCTCAGGCCTGGACTAGGCCGCGGGCCCTCGCTCACCTTCAGCCTGCGCCTGCGCCCTACTGCTGCCGCCACCCCGAAGC